GCTCCTCAGCAATGCCGAAGGAAGTGACTGCAGTATTTTTCCGTGCTTCCAGGCGCCGCAAGCATAGTGAACTCCCCTTGCCTTCTAGAGATTTAGCTGCTGGCTGTTTTTCGGGATTCTGCGCGCGCGTGTACATAATAGTAGTCTTCTTTCCCTTTAGTGTACTCACATTCTGCGCTGTTCTCGACTGTCTTCTCCACAGTCTCCTGGAGACAGCGTGTATCTTGCTTCTTTCTGTACTTACCCGCCGGAGCTATTCTCCGTGGCTCCTGTCGCAGCAAAAGAGGTGCGCTCTGCCTATTATTAGATGCACGCACCGCCGCAGCTGTCCTCCGTGGCTCCTGTTCGCAGCAAAAGAGGCCTGTTGCTACCTATTATTACTGCTCTCACCCGCCGCAGCTTGTCCTCCGTGGCTCCTGTTTGCAGCAAAAGAGGCCGTGCTCTGCCTATATATTAATGACACTCACCCGCCGGCAGCCGGTCCGCCGTGGCTCCCTGCGGCAGTAGAGAGCCGTGTCTGCGCTATTATTAGTGACACTCACCCGCCGCAAGCTCGTCGCCTTGCCCCTGCGCGCCAGAAAAGAGGCCGATGCTCTGCCTATTAGTTGCAGCATCTACCGCGCACCGTCCGCCGTGGCCTAGTTGCAGTAAGAGGCCGTGCTATGCCTATTATAGTGACTCCCGAGCCGCAGCCATCCGCCGTGGTCCCTGCGCTGCAGAAGAGAGCCGTGCTCTGCTATTATTAGTTGCACTCACCCGCCGCAGCGTCCCCTGGCTCCTGCGCGCCAGTAGAATAGAGCCGTGTCTGCCTATTATTTATGCACTCACCCGCCGCAGCGCCGCCGTGTCCTGCGCGCAGTAAGAGAGGCTCGTGCTCTGCCTAATTATTAGTGTCACTCACCCGGCGCAGCTATCCGCGTGGCTCCGCGCGCAAAATAAAGGCCGTGCTCTGACCTATTAGTGCACTCACCCGCCGCAGCCATCCGCCGTGGCTACCTGCGCGCGCAGTAAGAGAGGCCGTGCTCTGCCTATTATTAGTGCACTCGACCCGACCGCAGCCGTCCCGTGCTCCTGTGCGCAAAAATGAGGCCGTGCTCTGGCCTATTATACTGCATTCTCACCCGCTCGCAGTCCGTCCGGCCGTGGCTTCCTGCCGCGCATGTAAAGAGGCACCGGCTCTGCTAATTATTAGTGGCACTCACTGCCGCAGCCGTCCGCTCGTGGCTCCTGCGCGCCGGGCGCAGCGTGGAGCGCGATGCAGGCGACCGTGTCCCGCTGCTCTATGCCGTGTTGGCCAGGGTACAGCTGCAGCACGTAGGCGGCGCCGGCTCCAGCCCGCCACTGTGACTTCGGGCGCGATGCCGCGCCGTGACCGTTGGCGACGAGGCGCCGCCCCGCTCGCTCCGTGCCTGCAGGACACACCTCGGAGCGTGAAGCCGGCCTGCAGCGCGCGCCGTCAAACGGCGCGCGCACGCCACCCTGCAGCAGCGCTCGCCAGGCGATTGCGCAGCGCGCAGCGCGCGGCGCCTCGGCCGGCCGCGCGGGACCACGTGGAAACAGTCAGGGCATGCCGGCCTGGCGCCCCAGCGCTGTTGCGGCCCAGCACCAGCAGCTGGTGCCGTAGCTCCGCGCTCGGCGTCGCGCGTGTATGGCGGCGAGGGAGCGGCGCGCCCGCGCGCCGAAGCCACGCGCGTCACTCGGCGGCGCCACGGCGGAGCTTTGATATGCCACGGAAAGAGCGCGGGGGGGTTGGCGTCCACTCGCACGGAAACCTTGCAGCGTCTCCAGGCGCGCCGCGCCGTACACGCGCTGCTGGTGCGGGCGGCACACCGGCGCGTCTGAAATACAAGAGGCATCTAAAAAGTGCTGACATCTGGGTCTATTGGATCAATTTTCAATGGATCAATTTTCTGAAGGTTGCTGAAATAATAGTTTAATGAAAAAAACAAACCAATGTATTTAGATAAACACTTACACTTTACATCTAGGTGGAATGGTTCGCTCTCGCCGTCGCCCTCCGCGTTGCTGGCGACGCAGGTGTAGTCCCCCGAAGAATGGTTGCGCACCGACTGCAGCACCAGCGTCTGGTTGCTCAGGATGACGCCTGCGCTCGCGTTGCTGTGCAGCGGCCGCCCCTGCGCAACACCTCTGCTCAACCTCATGGTAGATGCACAGGAAACAAGGACAAAGACTGCAGCACCAACGTCTGGTTGCTCTCGATGACGCCCGCGCTTGCATTGCGGTCGTCCCTGCGTAATATCCCTACTCAGATTTGTAGCAGATTGATAGGAAACAAAGGTATAAACTACACCGTCGTTTCGTGGCTTAGGATGAAGCCCGTAGTGGTGTTGCTGTGCATTTTCTCTCCATTGCACAACACCTTTTCTCAGCTTCACGGCGGGAACACAAGAATCAAAAGCATGATTGCATTTTTACTGCAGCACAAAAGTCTAGTTGACTCATGTGTTGGCGTTACAACGCAGCAGCTGCGCCGCCTGTCGGTCAATGGTAGAATATTTTCTGTAGGACCATCATTCGGCTGGCATTGCGCAATATTCCCCTTCCGTTTAAGTTGAAACCGTAGCTTAGAATTTCATTCTACCTATCTATTAGTTACAGAGAAAGCTAAGCAAAATATGTTCATGTTAACATTGCACTATCCTCACGCCAATGGAAGAGAAATTGCAGAAATAGTGGATGGAGATAAGTATGTTACAAATATTTCCAAGCTCATATATGCATATTTGTCAGTGTTCTACCTGCATTGAAACGGTTTTAATGCATGGCATTGAAATACAGTTTTTACTATTTTTTGAAAAAAATTATCCAAATATATTTAAAAACATATTATATTTAGATAAATGTATTGAAGTATCACTTACGATTTCATTTATGCTATATATTGAAGTTGTAATTTTATCACTATAATGATATTACTATTTCAGACAGGAGCTAAATTATACAAACATACGTAATCTCACCACACCTCAAAAATTGTTGTTTTTACTTTCTCGTATACGTATGTATACATAGAGTAACATGTAATAGGGAGAAATTTACGGAACCCTGCGGAAAATCAATTTAGAGGTTTGAAGCCTCACAGTTTTCAAAGTTTCAATCCTCGATTTGGAGTTGCTTGTAATCGAAAATGTGTTTTTTAACGTGCGTCTGTCTGTGAAAAATGTTAGCGCCTAAATTATTCGTAAGATTTTTTTCCAAAATGAAATTCCCGGTCGATCTGACACCATTCAAAGCTCTGCGATTTTGAAAAAAGCATTATTTTAACACTTATTTATCGTAAATTGAAACTATGTTTTGTCCCTGTAATTTGATCTATACACAGAGTATTTTGACATTAAAAATATCCTAATATAAAAATACTATTTTGAAAATGAATTTCTTCACTCAGTTAAAAAAGTATAGTTTGGGATAAGTCACGTTTCTTATGCATTTTCACAATTTATCGCAATAACTGAAGAGTCAATTTTTCTGCACAGATTGTTTACATCCGATAACATGGAAAATTAATTTCAAAAGAAGGAACTATTTTCTACTGACATTATACAGTGACAGTGGCATCATTATGCGTCATTGCATCTTGACATCATTATGCTTAATCACACATCAGAAATAATCATGCATCAGGCATTATTATGCAGCGCAGTGCATTGCACCATTAGAAACAATACACTACTAAGCTATTTCAACAATCCCTACCTGGTGTTTCCAGATGACTTTATATATCCACGGGTGAGCACGGACACTACACTCGAAGTACACGTCATCCCCTTCACGTATGAAAGACGCATTGAGGTTGGCGCCGAGATCCAGAGTCACTTCTGGAGCATCTGAAACGGTTTAATTACATATTTATTCTTTGTAGAAATATTTGCCTGGTTGAAAATAATTCCTCTGATAGTGGGTATTATCATATTAATTAATTTACTAATAAGGTATTAGATTATGAAAAGAAAGGGAAATTATTGTTCAACAACTGAGAAATGGAAGTTTTAGATGGAGAGCGCCTGCGAGACTGACTCCGTGAGTGTGAAACACTGCTGCTCTACGGGTTGCTTGTCATCCAATGTGCAGGGGTTCCCAGCTTGTCCAATAGTATGTATTCTGCTACAGAGTGAGCAACAGAAAACCGAACACATAATGGAACTGTTATCGAACACTACTTATGAAAGACTCTCACTGAATTAGAGCAGCTAGTGAACGTGTATGTTATTATTGATTGTTGCTGCAATTCGTCAGGTGTTTATTCTGGCTACAGATTGGAATTCAGTGCGGCGACATACATAGAGAAACGTATGTTAAGTCTTTGGGTCTGACAACCCTAATCGGAATCCAAAATAATACAATTTCACGTTGTTTGTGTGGAAAAAATTAGAAGGTGGTGGCGCAATTCTGACATCCGATTCGAATTCAGCGCATTCAAATTCATATAGAAACATACGTCGAGTCTTTGGGTCTGATATCTATTTTTGTGCATATGTGTAATTAAAAATAATCTAGTTTATTTCACCACGGAGAAGCTAAGAAGTTCCTGAAAAGTCTTACTGAATCGCGTTTATACAGTATGAACTGAAGATTTTGGCCTCCGTGTTCCCTACAGTTGCCTACGTGCAATATTTTATTTAAGACTGCTTAATGAAGAGAACTTGTCAATAATGTCCAAAATATTGATGAACTGAAGAAAAAAATTGAGTGAGAAACCAACGCAATTGGCAACAAAGTTTTGCTTCAGACGATTTTCAATACGATCGGTCGCATACAAAACCTCATTGATGCACACAGTTATCATTTTGAACATATTTTGCTACGTACATCAAGGCAAATTTGATATAACATTCGTTTTTATCATTCTATAATTTAATGAAATTTCTTTCTAACATCTACGAATTCTGCGTTCTAGGTTCGGTTTGACGTTGTTCAAACTGCAGCTGTCCAATTCGGGTTAATCACAACTTTAAGGCGATTTTTTTCTTTTTCACGATTTTAATATCTACTGCTATAACTAAACATATATTGTCATCGCAGAGCACTTATCCTTTCATTAAATAATAAATTATTAACTGAATGAATGAAGTTTGATGATAGTGTATGGTTATTAGTAACGGTATGGTTATTAGTAATTCATTGTGTAGGGAATCCTCTAGCCTAATAAGAGGCATTTATAATACATTTCACTCCCTATAAAACACATTTGGTACGTAAGTTACATATATTTCAGCTTAATTATCATTTCTGTTATCTCGTTAAAATGCGTTAAAATGCTTTTATTCTTCGTCAACTGAATCGTTTATTTCAGGAACCCGTCAAATTTCTTAATTTCAATAAAACAGAAAAAGTCCCGATTTTTCTGAATTCAAAATATTTTTATTTACTAAAGCAGTTGGTAAATCAATATTTTTCATATAAATAGGCACTAAACGATGTGTTTATTCTCTTGGAAAATAATCCACCGTTAATGCGTGTTTAGATTTTGCCGTTTGACGGGTTTGTGAAACAAACGATTTAATTGCTTGCCTAAAATGATGTATCCTTATTCATGTGTTTATTTCACTTACACCATAAACATTTCGTACAACTTTTAAATATCTACCGAATGCATTTTATATATTTCATGGAGTAACGTGGGCAATGGAATGGCTAGCCCCAGCGGGCAGAGCACTCACAGCGCACGTCGAGGCGCCAGGAGTCGCGCAGGACGCCGCTGCCGCCGCTGGCAGAGCACTCCAGCTCGCGGCCCAGGTCCTCCGCCGCCGCCACCAGCGACAGCGTGCTCGTCGTCACGTTGCCGTCGGCGCTCGTCTGCGCACGCGCCAAGCAACGACATTAGCGTCCACAAGCTCGATTCTTCTGTATAAAGCATTACTAAAACCAGTCTAGACATATGGAATACAACTTTGGGGAGTAGCTCAAAATTCAAATATTAAAATATTACGTTTCCTATCTAAAAGCTTAAGAAAATTTGTAAATGCTCCTTGGTACGTAGCAAACGTCACAATACACCGAGACTTACAAATGACAACAATAAAAGAATAAATTAATACACAAGGCCAGCGCAAAATACTATCACACGAAACATACATCAAAATATTGTTTGCATTAACTTAATAGATAATAGTGACACCACAGACGACTTAAACATAATGATACTTTAGACAGACATATCGACCTCATAAACTGTCTGTTATATTCTAAAATGTAATATTACGAGTACGGTCAATGGATCTTACTCTCTCATGCTATTAAAATTGTATAATGTAATTTTGCCAAATGTTTATAACTAAACAAATTGCAAAATAAAATATTATTATAAAAAATTATTCTCAATTTTCAAGTTAGGGGATCACATTTTATTTTTTACTGAGTTGGTTGTTGACGAAAATTACATACAATTAGAAGGAAATAGGATTTTTTTCAATTTTCAAAAGACCCTCAATTCTAGTTCTAAGAAGATAATTTTGTGTAAGAATAGAAAGTTTCGTATATTTTATTTTTTGTGTTTTCTACACTTATATTACACTGTTTACTGCGCTCTTCAATATATATTGAATATTATCACAAAATAATTATTTGATAAATTGATATTTAATTTGTGTTATAAGAATATTGTAAGTTTACATACAAATATTACAAATGTTCTTTGTAATACTAAATAACATTTTGAGACAAAAACGATTCGTATGAGTATGAAGCTAAACTTCATGCTAATATTGAGACGAAACAAGATTAAGCCATTAAGTTGGGTGAATATAACGTGCTGACAGTGGAAGAATATGAAAAAAAAAACTTATGAATCCGTGCCTAACTTACAAGCGGGGTGTGAAATAAACGAACAACGAGCTGCACGCGATTTCTCTTCCCTAATAGGTCACGCCACGAGAGATTTTTGGAATCAATGTGTTGCAATAGGACGTCTGGAATCAACGCCTTTAGAACATGACATTAACGTTTCTGGTGCACTTCTTGGTAAAACAGAAGATTTCCAATCGACGATGTTTAATTTTTTTCATTTTTATTAACAGAATGAAAAGAACTTAATAAATTTAAATTTAGAAATATATTAATTAATAACAAGAATCAACAATATTTTTTGCAGTAATGTAATGTAAATATAACAGCTTCACAATACATATTTCACAATTTAATAACTATACAAGCACTCAGTACAACGCTGCGAATAAAAATAAACATTCTGTTTAAGAGGACAGTGTAGTATTTTCTAATTTCGCCTTGCATAAAAGTGAAAATACGAGTATATAATGCAATACTTTTGAGATAAATTAAAGAAAATGATAATTTTAGCACGTGAATATTTGCTATATATGTAACTTGCACGTCAAGTATTAGTCAAATCGTTTTGAACTATTCAAACTTTCTTGTTCCAGCAACATTATGTGCAATACGAATAGGCTTGTACAAATTGCACGAATGTTTCAACCAATAAGATTGTTACACCATTGAAGAATAGCAAAACACTTACTCATCCCTATACTATTTCTTTTACTTGTTGAGAGCCCTCGTGAGCATGAGTGAACTGAATGGCGAGCTAGTAGAGGGTCAAGGTCTTGTTTCTATAGCAAGACGCACAATAGAATGTGGCAAAATAGGCTACTTTCTTAACATTTTCGAAACCGAAATATTTCAAAACCGACGCAAATCCAATAGCTGGGAGAGTACTACCAAACATTGAGAATACTATAAATCAAAACAAACGAATAAAACTACTATCGGGAATTTTTACTTATGGGACACTTAAATCGCCTTAGTACGTAAAAAGAAAATAATAATAACGTATTCCAATCATGCGACAAAAATCAGCAATTTGTCGACAGAAAAATTCTTATTGTCAGGCTCTGATGGCGAAAAAGTAAATAACTCTTGTTTCATGTTAAAATACATTTAGCAAGTAAAAATAAGAAATTTACTAAGAATTCAACATTTTTAAACTTTAATGCTCTTCTTATTACTCATTTTTGTCTTGTCAATGACGTAAAATTCCACACTAAAATGCGTACAACTTATCAAATTAGCAGTTCTGAAAACACTCTATTAAATATTTTTCTTTGTTGTATGAGATAGCATTTTGTTTTATAGAAATCATATTATTCAAAATCATGATGTATTGTGACTCAAGGGCGTCAGCTTGAATTTAATGTGCAACGATGGAATTACATCACTTCCACATTATTGGTTTTCTTTCTGCGGTTGGCGTATCTCGTCTCGTCAAATATGCCCGGCACGAAAGCCTCCCTCGCTGCATTACATTTAGCCAATTTCGTGGGGAAAGCTGAGCTTTTGTTCTGCGAACCTTCAGCCTTTTTTGATTAATGTCTCAAATAATATTATAATGATAAACTAATTTTAGGCAATATACTATCCATAGATTTAATATAAAAATGTTGAAAAGTATATAAAACTTATTTAAATTTTGAAAACAAAAGAAATTATATTTACCAGTATTAATAAAATTATAGTAAGAATATAGTAATATGTATTATGTGTTTAAAACGATTGGAGGTTTAGTTTTAAAAAATGAGCTTTCTATTCAACCAAATTTTGTGCTTTTTGCTCTACGTGAAACCCAGATGTGTAGCGATACAGATATGTCGGATTTGTAGTAGAAACAGTGCATTTTAAAAACAGAATGAACATAATCATTTTAAAAATTACTTGAAATTAATGGAATAGATGTTTATCTGTCACCATTTGTTCCTTACATGTTTTTATTGCATTTGTTGTAAACAGTTTACTGAAAGCATTCGTTGTTCTGTCGTCTTGTGTTAGCAATCGTGAGTGTAAGATTATAGTTAACGAAGTGAAGACAAAATTGTTTTTAGTTAGAAGATACAACGTTTGTAAGTTGAAAGATTAGCGAGCCTATGTAAACTCTTTGTCAATCAATCGTTTGTAACATGTGTTCCTTCACCCAACAAATTAGTTATTGCAATAATATACGATGTGTTACATTTTCCAATTAAGGTTGGTAGGGGCATTTTCTAATACAATCCACTGTACCACTGCAGCTCTGTGTGAATAGTGATTGCATTGTGCCAGAATGAGATAATCTCATTTCTTTAGTCTTAGGAATAAAAATTGAAATCATGAAACAATACTGGGAAAGTTGATTTTTCAAATAGTGCATGTGTCGTAATTTTCTGATATGCCTTTCTACAGATCTTCCCTTTGTACGATGGAATCGTAAGGGTTCAGATAGTTAATATTATAATGCATTTTTCTAATATCATCCCCTTCAAATGATTAACGGGGCTCTTCTTTGTTATCTCATTGTCGAACGAGATTTCTGCAAACATTTTCTTAACGTTCATTTATATCAAATTTTAATTTTCAATAGTCTTCTTAAGAAACTGAGTTATTTGGTTTTAGCCTTTGTGTTCCGAATGAAAACTCTACTAATCAGAATACCTAATGAAATTCGTAATAATAATAATAATAATGATAATAATATTAATATATCAAAATAATAATATAATATTCGTTGTATGAAATTTCCCACCAGATATTCACATACAAAATAACCATCTTTAACCCCTCTACTAGCACTAGAAGATTGTAACATTTATTCCGGGACATTCTCTAAACACGTAAAAAGTTACAAGATCTTTGTTAATTTCCATTCAATCCGTTGGCAGCCCTGCTCGTAGAGGCGCGTACTGCTGCACTCACCGCGTGCCTGGCGCTGACGAGCGGGAGGCCGGCCTTGCGCCAGGAGATATGCGGCGGCGGCCGCCCGCCCACGGCCTGGCACTGCACCTCATGCGCCGCCCGCGCGCTCAGCGGCCGGTTGGCGCCCAGCAGACGCACCGACAGCGGCGGCACTGCGACACGCCACGCGCTCATCAGAACCTCCTTACACGCAGATCGCAGGGTAACGAGGAACGAGGGGGATTATGAAATGCCAGTTATGATGGAAAGTAAGGGATTCTTTTATTTCTTTCAAAACGTAATAATTTAAAATGTAAAAAAAAAAATTAAATGAAATGTTCTGAGCGATTAAACGAAACGTGACACACAGTTCATAAAGTTATCCTTTAATGATTATTGAATTTTTTTCGAAGAAGAGGCAATGTAAACAAATGATGAATGATGAAATTTAGCAGCAAATATTTGAAAAATGAAATAAACAAATATTAATTCAAATACAGAACTTACATTTTTACTCAAGTCGTTTGTACGAAAGACACAACTGAGAAGTTAGTGTTAAAGCCCTAGAGTTCTTATTTTGATGGAGTGTGGATTTACGCCAAGAGGAAACACATGGGAGGATTTTCACCCAACATTTATTATTCCATGTAGTTCAGTTTTGATTGAGAATATTGAAGAACCTAATTTTCAGTAGCTTTCCTCTAATCTTTCATCTAAAAAATCTACTACTCGCTCTAAAAGCGCAGACTGTCCGTAAATTCTCAGAAATTAATATAATCCCGCTGGTGTCTCGGGAGTCGCAAAGCTTCCTGCGTCGTCATACGTTAGATCAGCACAAGCGACACACGCACCGCCCACCGAGCCTTTGCGATAATCTCAACTTCCTGTGCACAATCCAAGAAGGTACGATCATCACTTAGAGTGATAAACCATTGATACTTCAGAAACAAGAACTGAAGACGGAAGTTTACATTATATTCGCACTGGGCCAATTCTGAGAGAGTACTAACAGGATTGCCGGTCCAGGTTATATCTAACACAGCACAGTATTTGCATTCAGAACAAACACAATAAACAGAATTTCTAAGAAAGAAATCTAGATGTAAAATTTATCTGAGTAATTTGGATCACAAACCATCCCGCGAATGTAAAATATTGGATAAAACTACTGTAGTAGGAAAATACCATTCTTTTTTTTATTTTAAAGATTGTGAGTAAAAGTGCGCGGTTTTACTGAACTTAACATATGCATTCTAAAATTAGCATTTCCGATAACGATGAAATTTTTCAGGCTATATGAAAGAAACAAATCTTGAAAATGTTTGAATTGTGTCAATGTACACCAATAATTTTAAATAAGAAAATACAAGATAATTGGTATTAAGTATATACAATTCTTTGAAACATCTAATTATATTACTTCTTAAGGTTAATGGAAACAATAGTGTCTATGAGATCCGTTTTCTTTCATACGACTAATTACGTTCAATTGCAAGGCGCCTTATCCCCAGAGTCAATACCAATTATTTACGTGTGAAAAGTCCCATTTGTCCCACGTAAATAATAGTGAGCTCTTTTAATACATGCTTACATACATTTTTATATATAGTCTCTTCTTCTATGAAACAATTCAATAAATGCTTAAGGGGTACCTTTAAGAACAGTCATGTTTTCTTTAATTGCTCTGAACATTTTTTTTACATTTTAAATATAATGGGAAATGCATCGAAACCATTCGAACCTTGGGAAAATTCATTCATTTTTGTATGACTCTGTCTCCTTCCCGTGTATCATTCGCGTTCATAGCAATCAATGTCAAGCTTCATATTAAATAAGTTGGTCTCCTTTAATATTTTAGAGACAAATAATTTTCAATATAACTAGATTATTCAGTTTTCGTATTTACGAACTATGCACGGCTGCAGCCCACACTGAAACCAGACACAAAAATGAATGATGTAAATACCGAGTCTTTGGTGTAAAAAATATTGTTTCTCAGAATCTTTTTTCATTAGTTCAACGGCCGGATTATCTCACTGTTGTAAGTAAAAGTTATAATATGATCTAAGGGTAAATGTATCTTTCAATATAAAATGAAAGTAAGTTGAATAATTTGAAACAAACTGCATGCACATTACTCTAACTTCTGACACGTGTCAAAGGAAAATCGCTTCTAAAATACGATTAAGGGGTGTGAAAAATATTGGATATTACAAGTCTTCTATTGATGATGATTGTGTCCCAGTTTCAAAATAGATTATTTATTAAATATAAATATCATTTTTTTCATTCTATTTCTTTTTCCACAATTTTTTTCTATATTTTAATTCAGTAAAACAAATTCCATTGCTGAACTAATGGATTCTAGGTAGAAGAGCAAAATGTTTGTTTTTATGTTCATTAATTTCGATACTTTTCTCTTCCAGTGAAAGGATTTACGGAATAAAACTGTACGTAAAATATAGCACAATTCAAAGAACAACCGCTACGATTTATTTCAACTCTTTTTAAGAGCAAATGGCTTTTTAGCAAAAAATTATGGTTCTGACATTCAAACACGACCAGTCTTTCTTTTAACTAAAAAATTAAAAATGATACCACATTATTTAATTTGCTGAAAGTCAGAAAAATGTGTGTATTATTTAATACGCGTGAGTAAAGAAGTTGGAGTTTTTCAAGTTGCCAATAAAATGTGACAAAAAAATCATTATTGGGTAATAATTTTCTTTACTAGATAACTGAAAATACTTAGCTTAGTTGTTTTTCTTTGCTACAGCTGGCTCACTTAACATGTTTTCAAATCTTCTGAATCATTGCGTATTGAGATGCGGTGTTTACTAAAACGAATGCTTGCAAATGATACATAACAGGATGTATAATATTACCCAACATCTTTTTTATTTAAGAGATATCAGGGCAACTTTGTTCTTTTAAATAGAACCCGTAAGATTTCTTTTATCCATGATAACTGAAGTGTTCAGAGGAGTTCCCTCTTTCATATTCTCTCATGAGACATAACACTATTTTTGAGAAATGAATAGATTTACAACACCGACCCTATATATTCAAACAGAACGCTTTTAGAGATAAAGTAGCGTTTGCCCTGCGGGATAGAAAAGATTATAATGCCAAGCGGAATGACAAAAAGATGCGCCACAATTCTTAAGTAAATTTATTTAAAAAGGGAATATCATGATTGAAAGCAAGGTAACTAGCATCTAGAGTTCGCGAGCGCTGCTATGAGAGAAACTGCATTGCGCTCTTTACCACCACACTGAAAAGAAAAGATCATCTTTCTCTCAACTATAAACATATGGTAACGTGTCTTCCAGTTGTGACGATCGATTTATACATTCCGACAATAATCATCATATCTGACGTACCGGTAGTTGATTGTTAGTACTTATCAACGTATTGAAGTTGAGACGTATGTGGGACCTATACCCACCCTATTAATTCACATTACTTCACACTGCTACTCCTAGAACGCATTTGTGAACGCTGAGGGCATGGTATGCTGCAGACTAAATAGATTTATAACATAAGTGTAAAACCTGAAAAAAGAAGGCCCAAAGATCTAATTCAGTGCTTTCGGTTTTCGATATACAAAAAACAATTGTAATAATTCAGTAGCCATCTATTTCTCCAGAGATTACTGTTTTGCAAAGTGTCCTCAGAAAAGTCTTCCTCCTATTTGTAAACTGTGCAAGAGGGATCATAGAGCTGACCTTCGAACTGAAGAATGCTCTTATTACCAAAAAATCGTGGAATCCATATCAAAAATAAATGAATTAAGTAACTCTAACAAATCAAAAAGTATTAATAGAAATAACCTTTCACCTAGACTATCCTCACAACACTTTCCATATCACCCTCCAAACAATAACATCCCACATTTCACTTCCACTCCAATTTCGCAACCATGACCTTAACGTACGTAATCAGTCCAATCCAAACACAATACAACACAATATGCACGATAATAACAACACTAATATATTGATACACACATTAATAAACTCTATCTCGTCCTTTATAATAAATTTTATTAACACCATCATCCAACAATAATTAATAATGTACAAAATTCACATACTTTGTTATCAATAATAATGGCAGAAAACGCCATTATTAAAAACTAAAACTATTAAATTAAAATACCGATGGCATTAAAAGAAAAATATTAGAATTAACACACTTTCTAAATCACAAAGTAATAAAGTTAGTTTGCATAATTGAAACTCATTTAAAGCCAAACATTTTTTCAGAATTTCACAACACAATGTAATCATAAATGATAAACAAACAAAATCGGTGGTGGGGAATTAATACTAATTCATAAAACGATTCCATACACACAAACCAACCTCCCACGTACTCCCGGATCAGAAACAGCAGCAAACAAGATCCCATTGAACAATAGATTGATAACAGTTATAGCAGCATAAAAAACTCTAACACAACTAAACAAAGACTACTAACAATAAAAAACAAAACACAACTAAAAAAATTTATAATTGTTAAAGGCAATAACCAAAAAAGTAATAACTGAATACAATCATTTAAACAATAATTATCTAATTTTTTTAGATTTATTACTAATTCTGCAATTAAGTGTGAGATCTTGGTGGCAGAATACACTAGCTTAACATTACAGAACTTACCAACTATACAAACTCAACAAACATTACAAAATCACATGAACATTTCACCGTGCAAACTTTCATAGAATTCCACTTCACCAACTTCACTTCACCACACTTCACCGCACTGCGATACAGCGAGCTGTAATGTCTTTTTACTCACTCGTTTCTCTCAGTTACACAACGTCACTGCACTTCACGCCACTGCACTGCACATAATAATAATAATAATAATAATAATAATTAATAATAATAATAATAATAATAATAATAATATAATAAATGATAATAACATTAAAAATAATAACAACAAATAATAATAACAATAATAATACTTAATTACAAAGAAGACATAGGTAATTACATTGAATTTTATTAAATATATTTTAACATATCTACATTCAGAAACTAATTTATTTTTAAATTTGCTCAGGCTTTGGAAAGGGATCAAAGATTGTCACTGGCAAACTGTTCCAGTCCCTAATAGTGCAATTCACGAATGAATATTTCCAACGTTCGTTTCTGATTATTGTCTGAATTTTGTGCATGTGA